TTATACAGCTTAATTTCATCTCGTGGTTTCTTGCACGGCTTAATTTCATCTCGTGGAACGTAATAATTCATGCGTTTGCAACCGTTGCTGCTACTTCCTTCAGGAGAGTACATTTTGTCTCTCGGTTATGAGAAGTGGACCGTTGGTACTAGCCTCTTCCGCTCTTTCTCTCTCTCCCGCTCTCTCCGTTGTCTCTCTCTCTCTCTCTCTCTTTTCCGCTCTCTCTCTCTCTTTCCTGCTCTCTCTCTCTTTCCCGCTCTCTCTCTCTCCCGCTCTCCCGCGCTCTCCCCCCTCTCACTCTCTCTCTCTCTCTTATTTATTATAAATTTTTAAAATTATAATTTTATAGAAGGAGACGCTACCGCGTCGCTTGATACTTCGTATAATTTAGATCTTATGCACGACTGCTGATGCATCATTTCAATCTCTTCGTTCAAATACCGCGTGTAATCGTCGAATGTTATCGTTCTCGCGACGACGTTACTCTTGACGCCTTTTACCTTTTTCGTCTCCTTCTTACCATTTACTCTCAACGCGTACATTTTTGCCCTAAGTCCGACGAATTTAGTCATGATGGCGCCATTATTTTCATCCATCATTAAACCCGGTATCTTTTTATTTGCGAGCGGTATACCATACACATTGTCCACCGCATAATCGCTGGTATCGAATCTGTCGACGTTGCGCTTTATATTCTCATATATATCTTCACACTCGATGTGATATATGAGACTGTCGGTGTCGGTGTACATGACTTTACGTTTCTCTCGATACATAGGTACCATATAATCGTAGTGAAAGTCGTACAAACATGTCTTGGATATGTCGAGTATACACATACCCACGTAGATTGGTTTATTAAATTTAACCTCGAGATTGCGCAATTCAACGGCGATCAGATTCTCCGAAAACACGCTTCTACTATGAAAATTTGGTTTTGCGATCATCACCTCTGCGCCATATCTTCCATCCCAAGTGAAATATAAGGATAATCCTCATGATTAAATTGCACTAACATACTTGGACAGCAGCATGTAATTTGCTCCTCCAAATAAACTTTCGCGATACATCTTGGCTGAGATGACATCTCTAGACGACAAAAAAAATGCAATAATCGACATTAGTCAAAATGTACGTGACAAACCGCGAAATAAAGATTTAATTGATACAAATGATAGAAAGAGACATCAAGATAGAATATAAAATCGTGGTAAAGAGGCACACCCTGTCAGTATTTTCGCCAAGAGTTCCGAGACAAGAGCTACTAATAAGCGCATCTTGTTAGCAAAATTTTTGGCATAAAATTGGAAATATGGCGGAAAACAGTGCCAAACGAAATCTGCGCGAGCAATCTGCAGGGGTAAATCAAATTGTTGGAAGAGCAAAGTCGAATCAAACATCCACGATTATCGATCTGGATTCGACAATCGCTGATTGCCCGAATTGCGCGACTCGAGGGATTGAAGATATCGTCTTGGACGAATGGTTTCTCGCAAATGTGGCAATGCGTCACGCTGTGAAATTTTTCCCATTTATCATGTGTTAAATTTACCATGGGGACATTAGCTGACAAAATTGTTTTTACACGCAATGCTAAATTTTTAAGTTTTTCCACGAACCATGACATGCAATCGGTACCGCGACGAGAATGATACGCGGATAACGATTCGTCGTACGAACAATGTACATAATATGCTATGCTAAATACTCAATTTTTCACCTCGTCAATTTTTCGAGGATGCCAAAGACATTGCGCTCGAACACGTGCAAAATGTGATGAAAAAACACTTTAATGTGAAAGTTAATACATTGTTCAATGGTGAATTTGTGACGGGTGATAAACGCGCAAATAAAAGTATCAATACGAGAAACTATGAACTCTTTCGCACATCCGATTTACGCGAATGGTACGAGCGGCGCGTTGTCGAGCCCACTCTAACATCGCTCGAAGAATTTCAAGAACGCGACAGCGGGTGGGCATTGTCGCGAATACTAATAAAATCTGAATTTCTAAATTTATCGAATGACAATTTCAATTTATTAACACCGATGACAAGCGGTATATCGTACCCGAAACCACCGACACGCTACCGTGGGGACATTACAAAATACTATTGTAAATAGAAATCATGTATATTTATTGTAAATAAAAATTACGTATATTTATAGTAAATTAAAATTATATGTATATTTATTGTAAATTATATGTATATTTATTGTAAATTGTATGTATATTTTATAAAGTGTACAATATTGTTTATATTTGTAAAATATTATTATGTATTATTGTTAACATATTTATAATATATTATTTTTATCTATCCAAGAGGTGAGCCACTTGTCCTTATCGCTCGGTAATCGGATAGCGCACTCGTTCATCTCTCGACAGTCCACCGTATGTGACTGTAACTTTTCGTTCGAGCTAAAGTAGTGCAAACATCTATAAAAGAAATAATTTTTTATTTTTTGTTCAATTATTTCTACAATGGTATTTTAGGGGATTAGCAACGCGTTGTAACTCGTATTCGTAAATTCCGCCGGCGATGGGATTTCCGCGCGAATCTTTGAGTACATAGATTGCGAGCTCGCGAGTCTGGATAGATTCTTGATTCATGAAATGTCCAACGTTGTTATCTTCCACGTACAGCAGGTTGACGTGTTTGTCTCTCTTTAGCTCACTCAGACGTATCGGGACAATGTTCTTTTCCTCGATACTATATACATTGATTGAGATATCGTTGGCAAGTTCGAATTTTTTAATTTGATTCACAGTCACTGGAAACTCAATGTCTTGGAGATTTAGTACTGTCGTATAATAAGGATACGAAGATTCCCGTTCCGCATTTCTTTCAGCTGGATGTAGAGCGGCGACCACAGACCACGCGAAACACGCATTGTCATTAGATTGCACGTTGATCACCGCTCTCTTCATTATTATCACTCTCGGTAATTTTATATGACATCCCGCGCGCATAGGATTATATTTATTTATATTTACAGTTAAATCGAGTATTCGCGACAATGCCCACCCGCTGTCGCGTTCCTGAAATTCTTCGAGCGATGCTAGAGTGGGCTGATTTATAACCGCATCAGTCAATATGCGGCTCTCGAACGCCGTATCGATCTCCCGCCAAATCAATCAGTGTTGTCGCGTGCTGCATCCTGTACCCGCGTGTACAAAACGTCTGCGTAACGAGTTCTTTAATCCCTCGAGTCGCGCAATTCGGGCAATCAGCGATTGTCGAATCCCGATCGATAATCGTGGACGTTTGATTCGACTTTGCTCAGCGTTCGAAGGGAGAATCGAGTTACTTCCGATAACAAAAGAAAAATATATATCGTTTACGAAAAATGTTAAACTTGGCGAAGAGAAATCAAAAAATCATATTAAATTGCGTTTTATCGATTCGTATAAATTTCTCACAGCTAGTCTCGATAAATTTGCATCATTCTTGAATAAAGACAAACTCAAAATTTTAAAATCTGAATTTCTGAATTTATTGAATGACAATTTCAATTTATTAACACGGAAGGGCGTCTTTCCGTACGAATATATTGACTGCGTCGACAGGTTGCAAGATACGTGTTTACCACAGCGCGAATCATTTTACAGTTCCTTGACCGGTGACACAATATCCGAGAGCGATTACGCGCACGCCGAGAACGTCTGGAAGCGGTTCTCCATTCGAACGCTGGGCGAATATAGCGTCTTGTATCTCAAAATTGAATTTGGAAATTTCCGCGAGAGTTGTATTAAAAGTTATGGGTTCGATCCCGCGTATTACTATACTCTTTCCGGATACACGTGGGACGCCATGTTGAAACATACGGATATTACATTCGAATTGCTTAGGGATATCGACATGGTTTTATTTATCGAACGCGGAATACGCGGCGGTTTGAGTCAATGTTCCAACAGATACGCACATGCTAATAACAAATATATGCAGTCATACGATCCATCGAAACCTTCATCATATCTCACGTACTTTGATGTAAATAATTGGTATGGATTCCACATCAAAGCATCATTCCTTCGTTGCAAAATTCAACACCGTAAACATAATCTATGCTGTTATTTTTATCTTGACTCAAAATAGCTCCCACATATTGTTGCTCTAGTGGACCCAGGTGTGTGCGCAATGTATTTTGACCCTCGGACGTTTGTAACTGATGTTGAACCGACGTCACAAGCGTTTCAGGCGTGGTTTCGAAAATTTTTTCCACATACGGAGACGATCTTTCGTACAATATTTGACTCGATTGTATATCATTTATCGGAGTGGAAGTAACCACATTCGATAATGGTTTCATTCGCTTACGTTTTGATTGATTTGGAGTAGAAGTTATTAGCGAATCGTTCAATGATATATTTGACCTTGTTCGCTTTGTTCCAGACTCTTTTTTCAGATGCTTGTCTTCGAGCATACTCGATGGTTCGATTTTTGCTTCATTAGATTCCACATTGATTGTATTTTCGACAAGTTGTTTTAGAGTTTCGATAATTGGTTTAAAGTGCCTCTCCAATGCGACGTCTTCCTCCATTTGACCAGTTTTTAAAGAACGATGTTTTTTGCAGATCGATTCGCTCGTTTTTACAATCTCTCTCGCAATCTTCTCACGATCGTCACTCAATCGTCGTCGTCATAATGCGCTTGGACGAAAATTTTTAGAAGTTGCTCGATCGATGTATCGATAGCAATTAACCACTTTACGGTATTGCAAAATCGTTAAATCCTTAACGATATCGTCTATTAGTCTGTAAACTGTTTTTATCAATCACTACAAATCCATACTCGTATTGCCAACATTTCGGACAGAATGCACGAAAATCGCCATAAAACGTGTCAGTATTTATATGATCGTTGTATACATTGCGACGACTTTTCCTACCGTCTCGCGGCTGAGCGATAAACGCGGCCGCCGACTCGTTCTCTCCGTCGCGCGGGTGTAAATTGCGGCGACGAACAGGAGCTAATTCGCCGAACGGGAGATGCGGAATGGTCATTGACAAAAACGGGAAAACGGAGAAAAAGATCCACGCGCCAGGTGGGAACAGGATGTTAGGAGTTCCGCGCGTACCGTGACCTTTTAATTTTTAGAATTGAGCAGAATAGAGCGTAATAGAGCGTAATTACAATAATGACTGTTTATGTTTTGTAATTTTTGTTCATATTTAATAGATACAAAAAATATGTATGTAGTATAAGAATTAGAATTAATTGTTAACCGAAAAAATCTTAATAACCGCATTAAATTGATCATTTCCCCTTCAGAAATTTCTATGAATAACTGGAATTACTATAAACGTTCGTTCGCTAATAGTTTAGTGATATTTAATATATATATTTTAAATATACACACACACACATATATGTATATAACATGAACTCTCTTACTCTCTCTCTCTCTCTCTCTCTCTCTCTCTCTCTCTCTTTCTCTCTCTCACTCCCCCCCTTTCTCTCTTTGTGCGTGCGTATATGTAATCTATGTTATTTATTTTTTGTTCATTATAAAATAAAATTTATTTCATATTTTTATAGTTTTTATCTATACATATTTTTATATAAAGTTTTCATGATAGAGTACGTCGAATAATGTTTAATGCTGTGTTTCTTCACGAGTTTCTGTACATTTGCGTTCTCGACCACGTCCGCCTGCCACAGATCGTCGTATCCGCGTACTATGACACGTCTACGTGGGAAATTTTTTCTCGCTGGAGCACGATTCTTCCACGAGCAGCTGTTTTTCAGAGGTCTTTTGCGACATATTTGATCGAGGCATAATTTGCAATAATGAGATAATTCCTCCACGTATATTCTTTATATATAACGAGAAAGAGAGTTTCTTTATAAATATTATATATTAAAAATTTAGATTTTTAAATAAAAATTTAAGAAAATTTATCATACCAAAATATTTATTGTTACAGGAAAATCTTTTAATTGACAACTCATGCCTGTTTTAGCATCTAAAGATACTCGAATATCAAGTTCAATATATAGATGTAAATTAAATTCAACATATTCAGTGCGACGTCCAGGACATTCAGATTGTTGGCATTTGACGTTCTTTATTTGAAAATTATACTGAAGTGCTTCTTTTAAGCATATAAATCCCTTTTCTTGAATTAATTGATGATTAACACCAAGTACTGATATATTATGTATTTCTTTTGGACATTCATGTGAGGAACATTCAGATATTTTATTGACGCATGGTTGATCTTTTGAAAGATTTGTCCATATTATAGCAATATTATTATATACATCTATGATATATACATTGCCAGTTGTTGTTATTGGTAACTTTAATTTATTATTATCTAATAACAACGCGATTCTCTCCTTATAAACGGTGACATTTACACCATTATTTAAAATCAATTGACAAAATTTTAGGAACTTATTATTTGAATTACTTATATAATTAAAATAATTTTTATCATCTAAAGCAGCAAGTGTAATAATTTGAGCAATCGAATCAAAAGGACACGTATTCCGAATTTCATATGTAGTTCCATTGATTTTCAACGGTTGTAAGAAAGAACCATTTCGGAGAAAGAATTTTTTTGTTGATTTTTTAAACTTATTGTTTTTAATATGTTTTATTTCTGGATACGGCTTGAAATATTTCGATTTCTTGTTAGTAAGACTGTTAGGTGATTTTGTATGATCTGATAATTTGTTATTTTCATTGGTTTCTTCATTTTGTTGTAATGAATATGTTTCGGTTTTACCTTTATTCATCCAATTTTCAAATTGATGCATATCTTCGTTTTTATTAATTTCCTTACTAATATTATTGTTTGTATGATTAATATTCATATTATTGTCATTGCGATTAATACTCATAACATTATTATTTGTATCATTTATATTAGAAGTTACAATAGCAGCAGATGCTATTTTCATAGTTCCGTCAATAGATCGTAAATGCATTTTGATAAATTTGTCTGCACGCATAGGAGTTTGTACATTTTTGAAAATATATTCTCGCAAGTCTTTAAAATATGCTTCACAATGTGCTGATGTTGCACGCACATATTCCGAATTAAATATAGGAGCTAAAACTCCAGACCATAATGGAAATTCTAGACATAATCTTATTATTTGTTTATAAAATTCAGGTAAATAGAAAGCATTTAAACGAGAAGCTTTTTTATCACTATTTATTTCCGCTTGTGTTTTTAATTTCTCAATCCAACGATGAATTTCACTATTATTATCCTCTTTATCTTTTGTATCCATTATATCATTTTCTTCTCTTTTATCAGTGACTTCTATATGGTCAATATCAAGATTTGTATGATGAATTTCAGTTGCAATATAATTTTCTAATTCTTTTTTAGCTTCCTCTGCTGGTGAAGGCAATTCTGTACTATAATATCCTTCATATTGTTGAATACTGACAGTTAATGTAAGCAATAAAATTGATTCGAATTTTTGAAATGATTGGCAACTTATCATAAGTGTAACACATCTTACAAAAAATGTTTTTATGTCAGGATGTTTTTTATCGAAACATTTCCAACGACAAACAAGTTTTATTAAATGGGCAACATCAACTCTTATATATGTATCTGCTGGCCGATTAATTTCGAAGATTTTAGTATTGTGATCATTAATGGCAGAAAAGCATGATGAAACATATTCTTTAATAGTCATTCGGTTAAAAGCAGATGTCATTGCACCTAAAAAAGCTCTGGAATAATCAGAAATTGCTTCTTCTGGTTTAGTTGCACCCATACGTAACCATTCCTTAATCCAATATTCAATCGAATTGGTATCATGTTTCTCAGAGATCATTTCATGGACTGGTATTATTAATCCTTCGACGTTTACAACAATGACATATAAAAATATATGGCCACTTTGTAAACCATTTGCAATTTGAATTTTTGAGACAAAACTTCCTGTTGCGTCCATAGCAATTCTTCTATATGTTTTTTTTCGATAATATTCCCTGTATACATGCATTTGCGTTGGAGTTCTATAATGCACACAAACTTTATCTAAAGTAATTTCATGTATGCTACCGCAATACGAAGGTGAATGTTTCATTTGTCTTATAGTATAAATTGGATCTTTACCATCTGTTGGACCAACATCTAAAGTTTTATCGTGATATTCTTGTTTCACTTTACGAAGTACAGATGATTCATATAAAAGAGGAGGTTCAATATCACCAATTTTCATTTCCTGCATGGCTATCCTTCTTCGCCAATTTGTGGCTCCCTCAATTAATAAGTCTTTACCAACTATTTGTCGTTTTTGGAAACAGAGTTGTCGTTTTACTTTCTCATGTGGAATTGTAGAAGTATCTTTAGTAACGCACTGCATAATTAAATGTTCTCCTCTCTTAGGTTCTGTATCGACATAAGCAGTAAAAGAAGATCCACATGCTTTACTTTTGCATTTTCCATTAATTATAATAAAATGCGAACGTTTGTCAGAAAAAAAAAACTTTTGCCCTTTTAAATACATATGCACATGGTAATCTAAATTGTCGCCAGAATTCATCGCTAATAATATCACTCCAGACACCAGGCTTAAGACAAGCATATGTTTTATCCTTATATTCTATATATCCAGCTTTTATTTCAGTCCAGAGCTCATATGTTATATAAAGATTGAATGTGCTTAAATCATCATTCTCTTTTGTAGTATCCAATGTAATATTAGTTGATTCTTCAGTAGTATCTAACGAGGACGTCGTAGCATTGCATTTTTCCAGTTTATTATCTTCAATTTTTAAGTTTAATTTCATTTGTGTTAAAATTCCTCGTCTATTTTCACGCACATTTATATATACATTATGTGCATTCCATTTATTATTCAAACAGTTACTAATATCTTGCCATACTTTTGAAGTATATGCTGGTAAGTTCCTATCTTTTAAAAGAATATCACTGAACATTTAGAGAGCTGATACAGCTTCATTCACTGATACAGCAGAAACACGTGGCATCTGTAAAAGGATTAAAAGAATGGATCTATAAAATGTCATGAGCAAGTATTGCAAGTATTACTCGTCTGGAATTCCTTGTATAACTATAAAATATTATTTATTCCTGTAAAAATTTATAAGAAAGAGAGGAAACATTGCGAAAAAAAAGAAGATTACATAAGGAAATAGCAGGAGTAAGTAAATTCCAGAAAATTATTGTTAGAAAAATAATAAAATCTATAATACAAATCTATAATCTAAAAAAAAAAACAAATCGATGTTTCTAATATTTTATTATAAAATCAAATAATATATATAATATAAAATTAGTTTATCGTCAAAAGTAATATTTATATGTGCTTATTTTTATGAAGATTATAATACTGTATATTTAAAGAAAATGAATATATTTTTAATGCTTTTTAACTACAATTAAAGATAAAATAGTACATATAAACAGGTAATCTCAAAAAAGTTTAACCCCATATCAGAAAGCTATATTGATTTCTATGTATATTGCATATATATTTTTGTTTTTTTAAATATATTTATTAAATCATTACATTTAAAATAGTTAATTTTTATGCTAAGTAATCCAGTAGCACGATTGTTCACTGAGCGCTTATTGAGCGCTGACAGCATCCCAAGTAGCAAGATGACGTCAAATAACGTTTTAATGACGTCTTATTGACATTAGAAACGTCATTAAGACGTTATTAAAACATCATTTAACGTCACCTTGCTACTTGGGATGTTAATATTATATTTTGTTTACCTTATTAATGAGTAGATTATTATTTAAGAATTAGGAATTTCTCTAATAAGAAGATAGTTATGCATACGCAACAACAAATATATAAAATCTAGCGATACAATCAGCTACACATAAATGTTCATAACCTCATTCATCTACTGCGAATTATGTCACTACTAGCTTTTTCTTCTTCTTCTTCTTTCTTATCGTGGCCACATCCGATCTAATTGGATTGGTATAATCCGGCCAAAAACAGGTTGGGAGTAACAAATGAGAGTAACAAATGGAAAGATTCCTCTAAAGGAGAGGAAAAAACTCAAAAATAAAGTCCAAAGGACACACGCGTAACGTGTCTAAACACGTCTGTTCCCGTCCGTGGGCGGTAACAGACTTTGTCACTACTAGCGATACTAGCGAAGTCAGTGAAAGGTTATGAGAAAACTCTTGCGCATGCGTAGTAGCGCAAGCGTCAGCAGGCTTCAATAGGGGAAGCGCCTCGCGCGGTGGAATAACGTCACTGTGGCGGCCCACAGCAGCTACAAAATTACGGCAGCGCGATATTTGCGAAAAATTATCGTTTCTCGCAATCGCTCGCCCGTCCGCGCGTAGTGCGGGAGACGACGCTAGTCGGCGCAAGGCGCTCGGGCCAACAAGAGTGTGGAAAGCAGTCCAGCGGGCATATAGTGCGTCCGCGCGTAGTTGCGGGCAGCACCGCTAGGCGGCGCAAGGCGCCCGGGCCAACCTGCAAGTAGAAAGCCGTCCGGCCGGAATATAGGTCAGACCCCCAGCAGAGAAAGGACACGAAGAAAGTCATAGGCGCCAGTCGCCTACTTTCAAGCGCAAGTCGCTAAGGCGTTGGAGGAAAGAACCAGAAAGTTCTTGGCGCCAGTCGCCTACTTTCAGACGACAAGTCACGAAGAAAGTCACAGGTGCCAGTCGCCTACTTTCAGACGACAAGTCACGAAGAAAGTTATAGGCGCCAGTCGCCTACTTTCAAGCGCAAGTCGCTAAGACGTTGGAGGAAAGAACCAGAAAGTTCTTGGCGCCAGTCGCCTACTTTCAGACGACAAGTCACGAAGAAAGTCACAGGTTCCAGTCGCCTATTTTCAAGCGCAAGTCGCTAAGACGTTGGAGGAAAGAACCAGAAAGTTCTTGGCGCCAGTCGCCTACTTTCAGACGACAAGTCACGAAGAGAGTTCTAGGCGCCAGTCGCCTGCTCTCTAGCGCAAAGTCGCTTTAAAACGTTGGACCACGACACGGCGCCAGTCGCCGAGAAATCCTGCAAGACGCCGCGGATAGAGTGCAATAATCTCGCTACCTACGGTGGCCGAGATCGCCCTCCGGCGCAAGACTCGCCCGACGCCACTACACTTCACCTCGGCCAAACGGAGAAGAGTCGGCGCCCGCCTCCAACATCAGGCGCTCGGTCGCCTCCATCTACGGTCGCTCGGTCGCCTCCAGCTACAGGCGCTCGATCGCCTCCAGCTACAGGCGCCCGGTCGCCTCCAACAACCGGCGCTCAGTCGCCTCCAGCCACCGGCGCTCGGTCGCCGTTAAATCTGGACACGGTGGACCTAACCCTTGGCGCCAGTCCACCATCCGCCAGGGACAAACCACCGGCTCCAGGTGCCCTGCTACCCAGGAAGAAAAGGAGCAAGGACCGGCTTCAGGCTTTATTCTGCGCTAGCCCGCCAAAGCCAATTAACGGGCATTCCGACAGCCAAGAGGGACCGACCAATCACGCCGGACATCAAACGACCGCGGAGTATCACGCCTCCGATTCCGTGGTATCCTCCACCGCCTTTAAAACGTTGGACCACGACACGGCGCCAGTCGCCGAGAAACCCTGCAAGACGCCGCGGATAGAGAGCATCATCTCGCTACCTACGGTGGCCGAGATCGCCCTCCGGCGCAAGACTCGCCCGACGCCACTACACTTCACCTCGGCCAAACGGAGAAGAGTCGGCGCCCGCCTCCAACATCAGGCGCTCGGTCGCCTCCATCTACGGTCGCTCGGTCGCCTCCAGCTACAGGCGCTCGATCGCCTCCAGCTACAGGCGCCCGGTCGCCTCCAACAACCGGCGCTCAGTCGCCTCCAGCCACCGGCGCTCGGTCGCCGTTAAATCTGGACACGGTGGACCTAACCCTTGGCGCCAGTCCACCATCCGCCAGGGACAAACCACCGGCTCCAGGTGCCCTGCTACCCAGGAAGAAAAGGAGCAAGGACCGGCTTCAGGCTTTATTCTGCGCTAGCCCGCCAAAGCCAATTAACGGGCATTCCGACAGCCAAGAGGGACCGACCAATCACGCCGGACATCAAACGACCGCGGAGTATCATGCCTCCAATTCCGTGGTATCCTCCACCGCTTGTCTCGCCTCTACGACGAACGCCCATTAAACGAGACAGTACCACACAGACGAGCCCCCGCAAAACCGGCATCGACGCAGCGACGCAAACCAAGCGACGAGGAGGAAGAGCACGTAAAGTGCTAGTAAATAACCGTACCGATTCTATTAGATCGGATGTGGTCATAAAAGCAAAGGAAGAAGAAGAACGACTTCGGTGTAAAGCATGAGGAGGAAGAGCACGTAAAGTGCTAGTAAATAACAATAATCCTTACGCGTACAATCGCAACTTGCGCTACTAATGTATTAATAGAATTAAATACACTTTATGCTTAAAAGCCAACTCATTCATTTATCTACCTTTAAATAAGATAAGTTGGGTAGTATCCTAAAGCGATAGATCTCCTATCCCGTACCTACCCACAGTCACTATTATTAGAGAATGTAAAATAACCAATTTCATCGCTTTTTTTCGTGTTCTGGATTATTGGAATTACGACAATGTCTTAATAGTTTCATATTTATGATTCTTTAAACATAACAGAGCGACGAGGTTTTACATTATCGCCAGTATCCTTCGCGTCAGATACATTCGTTTCGTTTTGATTTCAACTACCATTAAAGTATCGATGTTATTTGAAAAAGATATTATTCTGTATGATCTGCGCTACAAGAAGTGACGCATTAAATTTTAAAATTAATAAAACTACGATTATTAAAGCGATACAACGGGCCAAAATCGCGTCGCCTTTGCCTGGGTCCTTCGCGTCTAATGAATCTATCTCTTGACATAACTTATTCTGGAAGCAACGGTCTCGGTCAACGACACGTTGCGGATAATATACTCGCCACGAAAGCGCGAACACGTATTACCGCGAGAGATTTGACTCTTGGCGAAAAAGCAGCCGCTACAGCTGTTTGGGCAGCTATGAAAGCAAAGACAAAATTCGGAATCTTATATAACATCGATATTTCGGCCCGCTTTATCGCTTTAATAATCGTAAGCTTATCAATTTTAAAATTTTAATACATCAATCCTTGTAGTGGAGATCATGTAGAATAATGTCTTTCACCAATAACATCGATATTTTTAAAGGTAGTTGAGATTAAAGCGAATAATGTATCTGACGCGGACGATCTCGGCAAAGGCGTCACGATTTCGGACCGTTGTATCGTTTTAATAATCGTAGGTTTATTAATTCTAAAATTTTAATGCGTCAATCCTTCTAACGGAGATCATGTAGAATAATGTCTTTCACCAATAACATCGATATTTTTAAAGGTAGTTGAGATTAAAGCGAATAATGTATCTGACGCGGACGATCTCGGCAAAGGCGTCACGATTTCGGACCGTTGTATCGTTTTAATAATCGTAGGTTTATTAATTCTAAAATTTTAATGCGTCAATCCTTCTAACGGAGATCATGTAGAATACTCAACAGCAGCCAAGAAAAAAAAACGTCGAAATAAAAATGCCTACTGGTGTAATGACCAATATACAATTGGAACAACTTGCAAGACGTAAGCGCATACAATTTTTTAGAGGGCGAATAATGTATCTGACGCGGACGATCTCGGCAAAGGCGTCGCGATTGCGGCACGTTTTAGAGCTTTAATAAAATCGAAGTTATATTTATTTCAAAATGCTAACGTGTTAATCCTTATAGTGAAGAGCACGAACAATAGTGTCTTCCACGAATAACATCTATATTTGGTGATAGCCGAGATCAGAGCGAAAAGTAAGTTTTTCCGAAGGAGCTATTGTGTGTGTAGATAACGACTTCAGTGTAGAAATTTTATATAATATACTTTTGATCGATGATATAAAAATGGATATAGGTATATATTCATGTGTGCATAGATGAATCCGCTAAAAAATCCATTGTCATCCAACGGCTGCTTTTTTCTCGTGTTCTGGATTATTGGAATTACGACATTAATGTCTTAATAGTTTCATATTTATGATTCTTTAAACATAACGGCGCGACCAGGTTTTACATTATCGCCAGTATCCTTCGCGTCAGATACATGTTTTGATTTCGACTACCATTAAAGTATCGATGTTATTCGAGAAAGACATTATTCTATATGATCTCCGCTACAAGGAGTGAAGGCATTAAATTTTAAAATTAATAAGCTTACGATTATTAAAGCGATACAACGGGCCGAAATCGTGACGCCTTTGCCGAAATCGTCCGCGTCAGATACATTATTCGCTTTAATCTCAACTACCTTTAAAAATATCGATGTTATTGGTGATATATTCATGTGTGCATAGATGAATAACCGTTAGTGAAATTGTTAATGATTAATTATTAATAAGTTCATTATTGCATTGATAGCATTTTAGGTTATGTAAAGATTTTAAATCATTATTGGTTTCTTAAATATATATAAAAATAGGTCATCATCTCCGATCTTGATGAAACTTTCGCACTACGCGTTTCAGACAAAAATAAGGTTTTTGGCAGCCATTTTGTTTTTTCATATACTTGAGCTTTTCGAGTCGAAACTACCTTAGATGGTCTTAAAACATAAAAAACAAAGTCCACACAAAGTTTCAGGCGAATCGGAGCAATTCGAAAATTGTCGAGGCATTAAATTTTAAAATTAATAAAGCTACGATAATTAAAGCGATACAACGGGCCAAAATCGCGTCGCCTTTGCCTGGGTATGCTTCGTCGTAGCGACATGAGACTAATTTCGTTTGACTTGACTAAGAGAGGAGATTATATGACATAACTTTCGTTTTTCCAAATTAAAAATTTGAATTTGTACTAATTTTGGGTTTTTCTGTTTTTAGTCGTAGAACCTTGAAACTTTATAGACGTATAATAGAGGCTATAATAAGTGTTCTCACTGAATTAGAGTTTTATTGAAATAGTAGTTTCTTAGTTATTGAAACCTTTACCCTTGGTAAATTTGTGATAAAGTTGGAATATTTAAATTAGTATGGTATACGCCTAATTTGAAGATTCTGTGATGTTCCTTCCAATTTTGCAGTATATACGCACGATATAAATGTAACGTTTCATTATTGGTTAAATTATTGATTATTGATTATATAAAAGCATGGTAGTGGTTATTTAAGCGAGGAGAATAGTAGTGGAAAATAGTGGATTAATATAGAAAGGTTATTATAGTATTAATCATGTATTTAGGAATAGGCTCATTTGATTGGTTACGCCATTTTGTCATGAGAGGGGCAGGTTGAAATGATTTTGTCATGAAAGATCCTAAAAGGAATTTTGGCGACTCCTACAAGAAAGTAATTTTTTAAGAAAAAATGGGGGTGTAGTTCCGAAAAGTACTCATCCCCGATTTTTTTGAAATTCAGTATTCTTACGTATTTTGATGCGCTGATATAAGCAAAGAATGTATCTGACGCGGAAAATTCCGGCAAAAGCGTCGCAATTTTGGCCCGTTCTAGCGCTTTAATAATCGTATGTTTATTAATTTTAATGCGTCAATCCTTGTAACGAAGATCATGTAGACGCTTATCTCAGTAAATACGGAAATTCATGATAAATGTTTTAGACAAAAGTTTTAGATCTCACAGAGATAAACATTTTATGTCCTATTCATTTTTACCGTACGAGTAATAGTTTTCGACAA